TCCCGACCCAACAAAGCGCTCAGGCTGGTGCTGTATAATGCATTGGAAGTACCAATTGCATTAACAGACCTGGACACCTCTGAAACATTGCCATCATGTCTTATTTCCAATAACAGGTGCCCTCCTGCATAGGCATAAGCAGAGTCGAAAGTAATTACGGGACCAAAACTGGACGGCCCTCCTGCCGGGTAGCTATTGGCAGGTATGCTTAAGGTGCCGAAACGCACCTTTTTTTGTACCCCTACAATATTACTGGCAAAGGTAAAGCTCCTGTTTACCGGCAAAACACTTTCACTCAGGTAAATATCATAGTTGTTGTAAACAGCCGTTGCTGTAGGCCAGGCTGTTGTAGTGGCGGTACTTGAACGGAAGGAAATACCTGTAAGCCGGGCACCCACCATCTGGGTAAGCTGGTTTTCATGAATCAATAACTGGTAGGTACGCGCCGTACCCGCTAAAGGTCCTAAAAAGGTGGCATCTCCGTTTGTGGTGGCGAAGGTCGGCGGCACAATATGTGTCTGAGCCCCGGCATTTAGTGTAGTCATAAAAAAGACTACAGAAAAGAAAAAATAGGATAAGGCTGTTTTCATAGCGATATGGTTTAAATACAATATAATCACTTTTAGGAGGATTCAGAAAGTAGGTGTTCGCTAAAAGCAGACGTAGATCAGCGGGCAATCGTTGGTACGTAAAGGTCAGTAACAACAGTGTCCCGATGTAATAAATGATCTAATTATTTTCTGCAAATGCACATATACCGGGCACAGTGCTCTTTAAGCAAAACGCCACCTACATCTGCAATAAATCGTGCGAGCGATCAGGTAACCAGCTTATAGGAATTGATGGGTTCTATAAGCATTCCTGTTCCGGTGGCTGCTCAGCTTTCCTTTTTCACAAATATCTGTGCCGGAAGATCACCAAATACAAACTCAGTCACTTGGCACAACCATAACTCTTGGTTTACTTCCCGGCCTTCGTAGTGCTTGATAAAATAGTTGCCGCCGCCAATATAAGGATCGCATTTTTCAACCAGGTCCAGCCGGTCAGC